TGCTTTGGAAAACATTTTTCATTCATTCATTTCAAACAGATATAGAATACAAAACAACAGAAGGGGCAATAGTTTTTAAGAATATGAGAGAAAGTAATGATTCTTTGAAGAAAAATACCAACAAAAATTAGTTCTTCGATTAAAATGCCTGAGGCAGTGGTGACATTCAGTAAGTGTAAATAGAAACAAAACAAACTAGTATTTGTTTATCTCATGAACTAAAAGGGCACTGAAAAAATAACACATCAAAACCAACACCCCATTATGGGAGCATTAATCAATGTAAAATAAACATCACAAGTTGTCACATAAGGTTGTCTTTGATTATCTATATCGCCATTTCTCCCAAGTCTGTACCAATTTGCAGTTTTCAGAGCAGTGGCTTTAGATAAAGCAGTATTTAAAAAAATCAATTATAAAACAGTTGCACTTTTCTTTTTAGTTGCATGATTTTAAAAAAGATTTTGCACTTTTAGCACCTTTCTAAAATTTTGGTCTTATCCAAGGAACCCAAATGATGAATATTTGAACACGTTTATAGGGTCGATTTTCCACAAATGTACCCACAGCAAATAGCTAACCTCCACTCTTTTCACCCAATTTCACAATTTTATGTGGATGAAAGTGTAAGCTCTCGATGAGTTTTCTCATCCTGTTCCCTGGCTTTGAATCATTCCCAAGCTGCTTTTTCAAATAATCATTACGAGGACCTTAAAAGGACATAAGTGGGTACCACATCTCTTCATCCAACAAAGAAACTTTCCTCTTAACTGTAAACTTACTGATTTTCTGTACAAATTCTTTTTTTTAAAGATTTTTTTATTTATACATACAAGAACTGGGGTGTAAGCCAGAAGTGCGGGGGATAGGGGGTTAGAGGATTCACCAGAGAGAGTGGGGAGCAGAACAGGCAGATCTACTGAAATATACTGCTGAGGGGAGCAGTGGGGGAGACAGGACCCATGTGGGTTGCACCCTGGCCAGCAGGGGAGCTTACTCATGCTGCAGTGGCTGGCCATAGCTTGATAGTCTCCCTGCGCCACCAGGGAGACCTGATTTTCTGTACACATTCTATTTTTAGTAAAGGATAGTCATACTTACAGGCAAAAAATTAGTCTAATTAATTAGCCTTTAGTATTTTCTTTTTGATCAGTAACCCCTGAGTTTTATTTCATTTATACTGGGTTCTATCACAGTATTTTGACTTCAAAAATTAATATTAGGGTCCTCCCTGGTGGCACAAGGGGCTAAGGTGCAGCACTATGAAGCTATCCGCAGCCACTGCAGCACGAGTTTGATCCCCAGTCGGCCAGGGAGCTACCCACATGGTGCAGCAGACCTCTCCTGTCTCATCTGCTGCTCCCCTAAGCAGTGTATTTTAGTCAATCTGCCTGTTCTGTTCCCCACTCTGTCTCTGGTGAATCCTCTCACCCCCACACCTTTGGCCTCTCCCTCTGTTCTTGTTTGCATAAATAAATAAACCTTTAAAATAATTGATATTAAGCTATTACCCAAAAATTTTTTTAAAGGAAAGCTGCGAAGAATAGAAAGGATTTAGATACTACTGGTTATAATTTGGAGTAGTTGCTAAGTCAAGAGAGGCTTAACAGGTACAACAATGTGGTCAGTTTAATACAAACTTAAATAAACCAATGACATGTTTTAAGTAGGACAAAGTTTGGAATTAAAAAAAATCCTAATGTGTAAATATCCAGTAAACCAACTGACAAACAGCACTGCAGACTTTGGAAGATTCAATAGGACTTTATGTACTGGAAGCACAGTGTTCATGAGCACTATATCAATACACTACAGCACCTTATCAGATGATAGACTTTCTATTCTCACTCCTTAATTTTATTTTCATGTTGATTTTTTTTTTTTGTCTTAAACTAGAAAATCCCTGCCATTAGTAAGACAAAATCCAGCATAGGATTCAAATGGACTCAAAGTGACAAATTACCTAAAGTCATAAAGTGGTACATGGTACTTCATCTGCCCTTCTCATTCTCCAAAGATCCAGGAAACACCTCCCCCCCACCCCCACCTTGCCTCACTGTGAAGACTGTGCTGCTACTAGAAGGGAACACTTAGGGAAGATCCTTTGGGCAGAGTCCATGGGAGGGTGGAGACATTGTGCTCATTTCAACATGGTAGCTGTCAGACAATGAAAGGCAAGGAATGTGTGACAGTGTGTGGTTTTGTGTGTGTGTTCTGTGAGAATGTATGCATATTTTAAAAAGTACTAACTAAAAAAGCATAAGCATAATAGTGGGTGAGACAGGGGCAATTCTTCTCCCAGAGCTGGATTTCTAACCAATCAAAAGCATTTCTGCACAAATTCGTTTCAGATCCACCGAGGAAGAGTTCCTATTCCTTGAGTACTTATACCATGCCAATCACTAACCATCTTACATATGTTAACACATTTATTCCTCACCTTTTGGGAAAGATGCAAGGGAAGAAGCATTTCTGTTCAAGGGCACACACTTTGGAATCAATCAAATGAGTTCAATCTCCAGTATCACCACTTGCTTATTAAAAAAGCATCCCCTATAAACTAGGGGTCAAATGAAAGAATGTACAGAAAGATGCTTAGCGGCATATGTAGGACTTATTAAGTACTCAAGTATCTTTTGCTTTTATATCTTCAGTTTACAGATGAAGAAACAGAAACTACTGAATCTGTCAAAGATGACACAGTTGGCAAATGGTGTAAGTCAGATTTGAACTAGTGTCCGCAGGACAAAATTTATCTTCTTAACTCCTATTCTGAACCACTCTCTAACACAAGTTATTATTTTATCTGTTGGCATACCTGCTATCCTTGAAACCCTATCCTAAGAATAATCAAGAGAAAAAGCAACCTTTTAAATACAATAAACTTGTATATATTTTTTTTAAATAATCACCTTGCATGTGAAAGTTGAGGTTTCAAATATCCTTTAGGCTAATAAAAGCTCTTATATTTCTTAAGAAAGGTCTGGTTCCTTGTCTCCGAAAGTGCTCTTTAAAAAAGTGTCCTTGGGGCTTGCTTGCTAAGGGACTTAGAATGAACCCTGAACATGTTGCTTTGCATTCTCTTAGCTTCCACACTGGTCCTGAACACCCCTGTTTCACCTATTACTTGATATATATGGAGAATTCCTGGTATTTGTGGCTGAAATTTCATACCTGTCAATCCAATTTGACAAAACAGGAGACCATGGCAGGCCCTCAACAATGCACTCGTCTTTAAGTTCCCTAGCAGTTGTTTCTTTAAATGTCAGATTTATAATTCTCTTGAATTTTTAGTTAAACATCTTCTCCATGCCTCTCCCCACCTCCACCGAATGTCTACAGAACATCTGTGGCAAAACAAAATAAAAACCTGATCCTGACAAATTGTCAGTTTTTCCTATTAGATAAACACTCCCTTGCTGTAACTGAGGGGTAGGACAGGAGATAATCTTCCTGATTCCTACTGGAAGGGGGGAAATTTCCTTTGATGATTCAGATTTAAACAGGTTTGTACATGTTTGGTTTTGTTTGGAGATCAGTATTTAATTTAGAAATGCCTTGAGAACTGAGATTTCTAATATCTTTTAGGCTAATAAAGTAAGGATCTTATAGGGCTTAAGAAAAGCGCAGTTACCGTATCTCTTTTCAGTTCATCTGGTGCATGAAAAGCTATTCCATTTGCATTAAAAGCTGAAAAATTTCCGGGCTACAAAAGCCTGCAAGGTACAGGAGGACATCAGCTGCCTGAAGCTTTACAACATCAAGTGCAATTTGGGGAGGACAAAAAAGCAGCGAGATGAGTCTTTCCTTTTATGGGGGAAAGAAGGCTTAGGTTCTAACTTGGCAGAGCAGATTCATTTAGAAAAAGAAGGCTCCCTCGGTTTAAATTCCAATTTCTAAATCTCTCTTGGGAGATGAAGGCTCTTCTTGTGCGCCTTTCACAATCAAACAGTTGGTTAGAGCCTCTCCCCTCCATGGCTTTGAAATCCTCTCCTATTCACATGGTCACAAGGAGACAGCCCTGGGGCTGGGATGGCAATTGCTTCCTGGGCTCTGTGCTGGCTGGGTTCCACTGGGCGGAAGGGCTTCCAGCATCAGGCAGGACTGCCCTTGGATTCACAAATGCCCACCACTTGGCGGAACAACAGCCCCACGCAATCTCCCTGTCCCCAAATAGCCTCTTGCTACATTAATTGCATCATTGATACATTAAAAAAATTAAGTGGCCTTTTATTCCAGGGCAACCATTTGAAGGAGAAAATATTCACAAAACACCAGCCATTGTGACTAAAACTGATAACACTGTTTTTATTTTACTTCACAGTTGTGGTCTCTGCACAGTGAGAAGCCTATCGAGTGTGTTTATAAAGAGTTATGCTCTATATTTTTATTGCATCGTTTGCTAGAAAAGAACTCAACGATATGGCTTTGGCTGCAAGAGTCTTAAAAGGAAGAGTCTAGCTCAACTCTAATGGAATCAGTTTTTAATACTTGGTTAATTCCTAAAACATGGTAGCGTTTGGACAAAAAACGACACTTTAAACAGTTATGAGTCTTGCTTCTTGATTAAAAAAAAAAACCACATGATTACCTTGCTTATACAAAGAGTTAATAAACAGTCATTACTGAATTAATTTGCTCTGTCCAGCTAACAGCTGCAGCCAGAGCCCCAAGTTCATAATGCAGAGACAAATGAATTTGACTACGGTGCATGCACCTGCTCACCTTCCCAACCTGTGGGGAGTACATCCAGGTGCTCCCTCACAAACAACCGGACTTACTGACACCTCAGGAGCAGGCCTGGGTATAACCTGCAGTGACCCGGGAGTTTCCCACGCCTGTGTACAGATTTCACTTTCATCGGCCGAAGGTGGGGACAATGCCTTGTGGAGTGATCCCTGCTAGCAGGACAGATATACACGGCTGTGAGAGCCAAGCCCATCGAGATGGTGCATGTGGAAGAGTCCCGGGTGGACAGGAGGAGTGTAGGGGTCACTCACCTGGAAGATGAGCACTTTGAAGTGGTTGCGTCTGAGGAGCTGCGCATGGTTGTTCTCCAGCCGCTTCACCTGCGCGCACTGCCTCTCCATGCGCTCCCTGACCACGCGCGTGTGCGCGCTGACCTTGCGGGACTTCTCCAGCAGCTTGCTCACGGTGTTGCTGGTGGAGGCCTGGTACTTGGACAGCTTAGTGAGGTCGTTCTGAATGCCTTTCACGGAGCCCTCCAGGCTGATCTGCCGCTGCTCCATCTTATGCTGGTTTTCTTGCACAGTGTCCAACATGTTTACCAGCTTGTCCAGGAGCGTGAGAACCGTGACGGCATTCACCTGCGAGTTATCCCGGATGGCCTCCTCCGTGCTCCCCAGGTTCAAGCTCGGGCTCGGCGTGGAGGAGGGCACTGGGCTGGCGCTGGCTGGCTTCTCCTGCAGCATGTCAGAACCCGGGTGCTGGAACTTCTCAGCTTGGGCACCGTCCTCCCCCATGGCTGGGTAGGTAGGAAGGTTCTTCTTGCTTGGGCAAGCTGAGTGGTGGTGGGGTGGGGGTGCAGAGCAAGGCCTCCTGGTTCAAGCTCAGAGCAGCGCTCTCCAGGACTGGCGGAGGTTCAGACAGGCAACAACTGGCTACACTGATCCGGGGAACTGCATTCCAGCTGCTCTTAAAGGCCCTACTCCACCCAGTGGGAGGCGAAGGTTACAGAACTGAGAACCACTCAGGGTTCAGAAGCAGGGATACACTTCCTAACCGCGTTGTCGGTGTTGGGCAATTTGCTGCAGGTTAGCTTTGCTTTTCTACTCCTCTTCCCTTTTTAAAATCAGTTCCATGTCATATTTCAATCATGACTTCATTAGAGGCGGAGAAAAACATGCTAACTTGGCCCAGCTCCACAGTCTCCAATTGGTTAAAGCTAGTAAACTTTTCTCTGGCTGCTACGCTACAGATGCAACAGAGCGCCTGTTTTTTTTCCTGGATACAAGTTATTCTAACGGAAAGTATTGTTTGCATTTGCCCTAGAACTGACTGATGGGCTGCCCGATGTCCTACTGGGAGGGGCCAAGTTTAAAGGGTACTTGCAGCCAAATTTGTATTGTTAGTGTTTAATTTCTGAAGAAATGGAAGTGATCCTGATAATGACAAAGGAAGCAGTCCGGTTCTTATTTCTTTTGCAGTTGGGATGCAAGATAAATGGAAAGAGACTAAACTTTAACAAGTAAAGGTGGTGTTCTGAACTGTCATGTTTTAAATATGGAGTTTCTTTGAGGCAGTAAAACTGAAAGAGGAAAAAAAAATAAAGTGAACCTGCCATGCCGATTGGTTTAAACTGACTTTGAATTGGTGCTGAGAATTTTTCTCAAATGCCCATCTCAGCCAGGCATTTGTTGACAAGAGCCCAGAGCTGTGGCTGTTGGGTGGGTGGAGCTTCAGTTTCTGGAGTGCTTCTAGGTTTGACATTTCCAAATTCCTGTTCAGTGGAGTGGCACACCTGTTCTAAAACGTGGCCCTCCTCAGAGCTGCTGGTGGGATGTGGAGCTTATTTCCTAAAACGACTTTACATGCTTGAATTGGTTTTAAATGTATCCAGCCTCTGAAAGTGCTTTCAGCAGGAAGTTTGTAATAGGCATTCTAGGAACAGTTTTGAGAAGAGCAAAGACAGGCTCGTTTTTGGTCAGGGATTGATAATGGAAAAGCGTCTTCAGTGGCAAAATCTACACTTAAGGTATTTAATCAGCAGGTCATTTGTGGTCATATTTATTGAATGTGGTCATCTCCACTCTCTACTCAGTTTTGTGCCTGATGGACTGTCTAGAGGATGCCAATAAAGTGGGAACTAAGAACTTTGCCTCATTTGGCACACCTGCTAGCTAGGGAGATGGAAGATATTTACAGTGGCTCACAATTTCTTCAGATATTCAGCACCCTCCCAAGTCCACGGAAAGTGAATATTTTAAAAATAGTCACAAAAAAGTGAAAGTGTATAAAAATTTATCTTTTAAAAATATAAGGAAATGATTAAAATGAATTTACCTTACGTTGAACAAAATTTAGTTGGTTAACCATGTGTTAAAGATTAAAACAAAGGATGAATCAAGTGTTGATTTTGAGAAGGATAATTTTCTAACAAAATTAGACAGTATCATGATACAGTACCCTTTTACATTTGACTTCTGTGAGCAAATCATAAAGAGGGTCATTTTTGCAAAAATATTTGAAGGCTTCATCATTTTTCCAAGAGCCTCTCTTAAATTTTGACATTCAAATCATTCCGTTTTGAAGCACTTATTGTGCCATCATCTGTATGGATTTTTTCTTCTTAAATGTTAACTATTCCAGCTGCAGATTCTCATTTGTCAGAGGAATTGCCCCTGATTCAAGGGCTTCTCTAACATTACCTTCATCAACTTCATGATTTTTTTTTTTACGTATTTTGAAAGATTTGCCATTTCACATTATAATCACTTTGCCCTGATTTTGCATTGATTTGCAATGATTTTGCATTGCATTGTTGGATATTGTATAATCAGCTAGATGAATGCAGACATTAAAGAGATGAAGGTGAGATGGGAAAGGAGAGAGGCTATTTGTTAAACAGGAATAAAGGTTTGCATGTGGGCTTATTTATTTTTAAAAATTAATTTTGAGCAACACTGGCACCATATCAGTTATCTATTGCTGTGTAACAAACCAGTCTGAAATTCAGTGGCTGAAAACAGCAATAATCATGAGATTTATTTATTCATGATCCTGTGATTGGCTAGGTAGGGCTCAGCAGAACAGTCTTTCTGCTAGATACACTCGTTCAGCTGTAATTTGTACTGAGACATTTTGAGATGGTCTCAGTCACATGCCTGGCTCCTTAGCTGAGACAACTAGAATGCTGGGACTTCTCCCTCTTTGATCTTTCAGCCTCCACAGATTCTCCATTTGATATCTCTGGTGGGGAAGCTAAACTCCTTTAAAGGGTGCCTCAGCGTTCCAAGGTTGTGGTAACAAAAATTATAGGATGTCAGAGGGATAGACAGTGGAACTTTCCCCTTGTCACTTTCACCACATCTTTCTGGTCCAAGTAGGTCACAGGAGAAGCTGAGAGTCAAGGGGGCAGGAAGTAGCCTCCGCCTCTTTATGGTGGGAGCAGCAACATTCCATGACAAAGGATAAGCAGCGTGTGAGAGATTGTAGTAGCCATCTTTGGAAATCATCTACCTCAAATAAACTCATTCTTCTTTCAAAAAACTATTGTCGATAAAGTAGAAGGTCCTTTCACCATTTTCATTCCTTTGCCTTTTACCTTTTGTCAAATGTAATCATTTGATGCATTTGGAGTCTATCCTTTGGAAATTACAAGTGATCAGTTCATTAAAGAATAGTTTGGTGTTGGGCCTCCCCAGTGGCGCAGCGGCTGAGCGCTGGGTTGCGAAGCTGCCGCAGCCTCTGCAGCGCCCGTTCGATCCGGGGCTGCTCCCCGGCCACCGGAGGAGGGTCCCACATGGCGCGCAGACCTCTCCTGCCGCCCACTGCTCCCCTCAGCAGTGTACTTCGGTCCTTCTGCCTGCTCTGCTCCCCGCTCTGGCTCTGGTGAATTCTCTCACCCTCCCGCGCTTCTGACTGTACCCAGTGCTTGTATAAATCAATCAATCAATAAATCTTTTAAAAAAAGAAAGAAAAAAAAAAGAATAGTTTGGTGGTGTGCTGCAGTTTGTTTTGTTGCTCACATGATAATCATGGGGACTATGAGGAGCTATACAATGGGAGTCCGTCCTGCACCAGGTGGCATGTGGCAAAGTAATATTGTAACACAAACTCTGAAAGAGTAGGTTAGGAAGAGTTTATATAAGGGGGGAGGAAACGCAATAAAAAAGAATGTTATTGATGAGTTAAAATTTGAGTTAGCTCTCGAGCCTCCCCGGTGGCACAGCTGGTTGAGCACAGTGCTGTGAAGCTCTCTGCAGCCTCTGCAGTGTGTGTGGGTTTGATTCCTGGCTGGCCAGGGAGAGACCCACATGGTGCTGCAGACCTCTCTTGTCTCACCTGCTGCTCCCCTCAGCAGTGTATTTCAGTCAGTCTGCCTGTTCTGTTCCCTGCTCTGTCTCTGGTGAGTCCTCTCACCCTCCCGCACATCTGGCCTGTACCCTGGTCCTTGTATAAATAAATAAATCTTAAAAAAAAAAAGAAGCTACTGTAGGTTTTTGAACTTGTAAAAGTGATGTGCTTAATTAGGAAGGATCAGTGCAGCAATAAAATACAGCCAGGCATCACTTGGTGGGTAAAGTCTGTTGAATGGGAAATAAATGTTAGATGAGGATACAAAGGTGAGTCACATATATTTGCTGCCCATTAAAAGGTTCCACTTTACTGGGGGAACTAGGCAGAGACAAATAGTAGGTAGAGATATACAGGTGTGGTGTTAGAGATGGGTAACATGATGGCTTAATATTAAGAATAATTAGTAATGAATAAGAATGAAAATAATTAATAATGACAGCTTCCTTCTGTTAGCTCAGGTCTTTAAGTCATATAAGCTCAAAACTCACTCCAGGAAAATGCCTCCTATTTTACTCATTTGGGCATGGGCTCCAATCTCTATGTGGTCTCCTGTCCTGGTCTATTAATAAGTCCCAGTGCTTGGTTAACCCTTTAGAAGCATTTCTAGAGCAGAGACAACTCGAAGTCCTGCTTCATTGGCCTTTCCTGTTTAAACCCATATGGTTATCCTGATATTCTTGGTCTTGCTACTGTGGCAGTGATAGACTTGGAATTATGAACTCACAGAAAAGAAAGCCATTCCCTTCAGTGACTACAGAGGAGGGGAAACTGCCTAATCCTCTCCTTGTATCTCTTTTTGAGCCCCATATTGAAGTTCAAAGGCTTTCAAAGGTTGGGTTGCCTTTTGAGCAGGTGTTCATATCATTATTCTAATAATGGGAAATTAAAGAGGAACAACATAATGACACAATTTTTTAGTCTTTTTTTTTTTTAAAGATTTATTTATTTATACAAGAACCAAGATACAGGCCAGATGTGCGGGAGGGTGAGAGGATTCACCAGAGACAGAGCAGGGAACAGAACAGGAAGACTGACTGAAACACACTGCAGAGGGGAGCAGCACGCGAGACAGGAGAGGTCTGCCTCGCCATGTGGGTATCTCCCCAGATGGCCGGGATCGAACCCTTACTGTAGAGGAAGTGGAAAGCTTACAGTGCTCCGCTCAACCACCTGCACCACCACGGAGGCCCAACATAAATTTTTTTAAAGAAAGAGGAAGTAGGAGAAAAAACAAAAGGAATGTGTCTTCCAAGATGAAGAGGAAGCTTTCCATCTTACTATTCCTTTTATTGAAAGCTCTTTCTACCCTCTATCGTCTACTTATTTGGTCTCCTTTATGTTCCTAACTTCTGGCTACTGAGAGCATTTCTCCACAGCTTTCTTGTATTTCTTCATATTTTTATAGCAGAGCCATGGGCAGCCTTTTGTTCTGCACTATCTTTTCAAGAATGTTTGTGGAGTGGACAGCTTTGGAAAATAAAGGTAGTAGCAGGGGATAAAGAGAGAGCATGTGGTAGAATCATTTGATGTTCATTAAATAAAGAAACTGTTTCTCTTTA